CCGGGTTAGCTCCAATTTATAGCCGCATATGGCCTGGGACCTTGGAGGGCCCCCCCACCCCTGGGCTCCTCCAGAGGGTGAGAAGCAGGGAGGCTGGGGTGGGAGGGGGCAGAGCTGGGCCCTGACAGCCCCTCCCCCCGCAGCACTGTGGATGACAACCCCGACTTTGACAATCTAGACATCGTGGCGCGGGATGAGGAGGAGAGGTACTTCGACGCGGAGGAGCCCGAGGAGGCACCCAGCCCAGAGCTGGATGGGGACTGACGGCCGCGCCGCCCACCCTGCCCGTGACTTCCTCTAGGGGACAGCAGGGCAGTCGCCCCACACCCCCGGCCTCACTGGCTCTGGTGCCGTCCCGGCCCAACCCCTGCCCCCTCTGTGTGCAGGGCTCCCTGCCTTCCCCCACTCTCCTTCCCTGATCCAGGTCAGTCCGCTGTCTCTCTCACTCGCTTTTTCTCCATCCCTTTCCTCTTTCTACACGTCACTGTCTTTTTCCTCTCTGGCCTTCTCTCTCTCCCCTCTGTGTGCCTTGGCCTCTGTTCCCACGACCGGGCTCAGGCTGAACATCCTCCCCCTGATGGAGGCCAGAGGGGCTCTTTGTAGCTGGAGCCAGCCAGGTCAGTGCCGGAGTGCAGCGCGGGTCGTGAGCCCCCGGGCCCCGCCTGCTTGTCCAGCTCTGTACTGGTGGGCTCTTGCCTCCTTCAGCTTCACCCTGGGCCTCTGGTGCTTCCTGCCCACACACCCCCATCTATCAGCCTCCATGCCACCTGCCTCGGCCCTCTGCCTCTCAGCCTCTCTCTGGTTTCAGTGTCATCTCCCCCCAAACCCCAGCCTGGCTGCTGAGGAAGGAGCCTCACCAGGGAGGCTACCAGCTCCCACCTCTCCTTCAGGACCCAGGCTTGGGAGGGGGGTGTGGGGCAGCACTGGGGCCATGGGCCTGAGAGCTTGGGTGTGGAGGGAGGGGCGTGGGGAGGGGGGCTCTCTCCTTCAGCCCCACCAGCCAGCCCCTCTCTGCCTGGCCACAATTTTCCCTTCCTTCACTTCCTCCACCTCCTTCTCCCTCTCCTGTTTACACTCCCCAAATACGCACAGGCTGTTATCATGGGTCCTGAGTCATCCCACACACACAGCCTGCCCCAGCATCCCTGCCCCCAGCTGGCCACAGGGCCCGCCCCACAGAGCCCCCCGCCGCCCTGGGCTAATGGGAGCCAGATGGCCTCTTGGTGACTCAGCCACTTGGCCTGTGGGAACCCAGGCGTCCTGCCTTCCCATGCCCCCATACCCGGTTCATGCTCCCTCAGTAGACACAGACACACACACACAGAAGGGGTCAGCTGTTGGCAGGGGGTACAGGCCACACAGGTCAGAGAGATAGGGCCTGGGGACCCTTCACTCCTGTGAGCCAGCATGGTGACACCCTGCATAGCCAGGCCTGAAGACACTCGAAACCACCTCAGGCATATGGCCTGGAGAAAGGGGGAGACCCCCAAGGCCTCCCGGGACCACAGCCCTTGACCCCTGGGCCTCAGCTCTGCCCTCTGGGTCAGCCAGAACTAGAGCCAGACACAGAAAGTGAGAGCTGGCCTAGAGGCCGAGGGACATTCACACAGAGAGACCATTAAACGAGGAAACTTCCGGTCACTGAGCAGTTCTGTCCTATTCCAGGCCGGATGGGCCTGATGCCCCATGGAATTCTCCAAACAACCCCGTGAACTAGGGACTCCGCTCCGTTTCATAAGTGAGGGGAGGGGGCCAGAAGGGGAATGTTACTTGCTCGAGGCCTCACGGCCACTGACGAAAAGCGAGGTCTAGAACTTCACAGGTCCTAGAGACCATTCTAGCCTGTGTGTTAGCTGTCAGGGCCACTGGGAGCAGACAGACGCACGGACTTGCTCAGAAAGGTCACGAAGAGACAGCTGTCGAGGGTGATACCAGCAGCTAACGCTTTGGGGCCCTCCCCACGTGCTCGGCACCATGCTGCACACGGGCTTGGAATCATCTCGATGGTGTGTAAGTCAGCACCTGGACCAGAACCATCACGGCGGTCCTACTCCTCACTTCCTGCCAGTAGCAATGCCCTGGCTCCCAGAGAAGACCCCTGATCGGCCGGCCAGACTCGCCCTTGGAGAGCCTGAAAGCCAGAGGATGGAAGACGTTTGTCCCTCGGGTACACACGTGTGTGTGTGTGTGTGTGTGTGTGTGTGTGTGCGCGCGCGTGTGCGCCCACAGTCAGAGGACTTCTCTAAGCCAGGGAGCAGACCCGAGTGAGGTGTGCAGTTTTCATCAGTCTGTCATTTGATCCTTAATGCTGTTTGTGATATACTTTGCCATACATAGATTTGTTACATAATAAAAAGTGATGAGAGACCACAGCAGTTGAGTCAGAATTAGGGTTAGTCAGATGGTGGAGGCGGGAGCGTCTGCAGCTGAGACAGAGGTGGGGCCAGTCAGGAGGGACTGTGGGAGACACACCCCCGGCACGGCCCCCGCAGCTGCCACTGGACCCTGAGGAGCCAGAGGTGACTGTCCCTCCGCCCCCCAGCCCTCGGTCGAGGCAGGCGGAGAGGCTGAGTCAGGGAGGGAGGACCCGCTGGGGGAGAGCCCCTCCGTGGGCATCCGGCCCCCACCCCGTCTCCTGTCTGTCCTCCTGGCCGGGCTGTGCTGGCTGCCACCCGCACCCCCATCTGACCCTTCTGTGTGTCCTGCCCTCGCATCCTGTCCCTCCCACCGCCACCCCTCTCCCTCTCTCTCTCCTCTCCTCTGCCTTCTCTTCTGCCTCTGTGCCTCTGGCAGCCCGCCCGAATCTCCTATCACCTCCCACCTCGCTTGTCAGCCCTACACTCTTCCCCCGCCAGCCCTGCCCAGGGCCACTGCCAACCCTCTCACCTCCCTCCTGCTCATCCCTACACACTGGTCCCTTAGCCTGTGTGACCATTCGTCCGGAGTCTCCGCCCCATTTCCCCCTCTCCCTGTGGTCCCTGGCCTGACCCCTCACCCCCTGTCGGCTGGCCCCTCTTCTCTGTCTCCCAGACCCTGGGAAGCCCAGTGGGGATGTCCAGGTCAGAGGGTCACTGGTGGCCCCTGGGAGCCCAGGATGAAGGGTCACCGCTGCACCCTCATCCAGAAAGGGGGAGGCAAGGCTGTGGCCTGTCTGGCCTGAAGGAAATGTCTGCGCTGTGGCCTGGTCACCCCCGCCCCCAGGACCTGCCGGGCTGCCACCACCCCCGCCCCCGGGCTGGGGCCGAGTAAACACAGCCGACGGCAGCGGGGATATTTATACCGAGGTCCGGGCGTAGGTCCAGTGCCCACCACAGCCCCTGCCCTGCCCGCCCGCCACAGCCAGCCCGAGCCAGCGTGGCACCAGCCGGCAAGGGGACACACCGCAGACGCAGCCTCCACTCAGTGCAGAGGCCACTGGGCGTGTCGCTCGGGATGCCGTTGGCTTCCCTGGGGACACACCGTGCCCGCCCCTGCCCTGGAAACACCAGCACAAAATGCAGACCTGCAGGAGACACTGCCAGCCCACTGAAGACTCACAAGGCCTCGAACCTGATGCAAAATAGAGACCCACACGACAGCTCACACACCGAAGTCACCAGCCCACGGACGGGAGACAAAACGCAACACCACCTGTTCTCAGAGCTGAGGACACCAGTCTCTGCATGGACACACATTCGCACAAACACACGGGGAGTACAACAGCAAGCATACTGGGGACACACCCCACAGCATGCTCTCTGATGCCAGCCACGCACACACCAATCACAAGCATAACCCAGAAACAACTCACCCACGGACACACAACACATGCACCAGAAACACAGCTCCAAGAGCAAACACAAAGCACAACCCCTCCCGGAAACACACGTCTCTCCCAGACACACAGACAGACACGGAGAACATCCATATTTTAAGTCAAACTTACTGAAGAATGCACAAATCTACACCCAGCAAACAACGGCAAAGATGTGGAGAAAGAATTCAGACCCACAGCAGGCCCTGGGGACACGACCCTCTCCTGCACACAGACTTGCTGAGACACAGTGTCCCGCCACAGAACCCAGAGGGGGCACTGGCTTGTAAACAGGAACCCCAAACGGACGCACACACTGGAAATGCAGGACAGGTAGACAAACCGAAGGGACGCGTGCTGGGACACAGGCTTTGGTAGTACCTGTGCACACCCAACACAGCCGGAGGGCACCCGCTGGGGCGTCAGAAACCCCCAGGCTGGACAAAATTCACAGCACAAAGCTTGCGCGCGCGTGCGCGCGCGCACACACACACAACCACACAAAGGGGTTGTGAACACGTTCAAATTTACATTAGAAACACCCCAAAGACACCATCGCTGGGGAGAAGGGGCTTTCTCTTTCGTCTTCCCCCTCCTCTCCCCTCCCCGCTCCCTCCGGCTGACCCAGCCCCCAGGCCTGTCTGGGGGAGGGGGCAGGAAGGCCTGAGCTGGCCTCCCCGGCCCTGCTTCCTGCCCCGTGGGGGCCGGACGGGAAGCTGGGGCTCCAGCCGGAACCCAGGCTCCCCCCACGACTTCCCTCCCCTCCCGGGCTGCCCGCAGGAGTGGGGGAGGGGGAAGGGGCGCCCCGAACGCCCGGTGCTGCCCCTGCGCTTGGCGGGGGGCGGGAACTACCTTGTCCCCCACGGGCTCTGCCCCCGTCTCCTGCGGGACATGGGCCGCCCGCAGGCAGTCCAGGAAGGTGCTGAGCCCGCAAGTTTCCCTTCCTGGGCGGCCTCCGCGCCAGCTCAGCCCGGCGGGCAGGTGGGCGGGGTGTGTCACGAGGGCGTGGCGAGGGCTCGGGCGACCGCGGGAGTGTGCGGCCCCGGTGTGAGGCCAGGACTTGCCCTCGGCCCGGGCACGGGCTGGGCTTGCGAGGGCCGCGACCCTGGGGGGGGTGTGTCTGGGTGTGTGGGACTTGCTCCGTCTGGGCCCCGGGGTGTGACAGCGTGTCTGGGTCTGACGGGGCCAGCTGCTGTCTGCGGGGCCTGGTGGGACTCCCCGGGCCTGAGCGTGTGGGGGCCTGGGAGATGTCAGACGGAGTGGGCAGGACCGGCCTCCTCCGGGTGATCGTGACGTGTGTCTCCATGTGTGGCGTGTGTGTCTGGGTGGGACTGTGATGTGTCAGGTTGTGTGCGCATGCACTGTGCCTGTTTGCGAGTGACCCCGGGGAGGATGTTTGTGTTAACTGTTGGTGGGTCCCAGCAGGAGCCTCCGTTTCATTTCCTGAGGGGGCTCTGATGCTGTGAGGTGT